TGGACCTTGCTTTTCTAGGAACACTCTCTCTGCTTTTTGTCCCAGTAGATGATTCCACAGGCAGTGAATCATTATCCCCTGGACTCTGTACTGCCTCCAAGGCAGGAGGGAAAGGCTGTTTCTGATAGGGTTCTTGATCATGTCTTGCAGGATGAACCAGTGGCTGGCACACAAGAAAACAAAGCCAAGCTGTTCATGGTATCAGTGAAGCAAGCATTGAGCCAAGCCAGTTTTGACACCTTTACGCAGGCCCTGCAGCACTATAAGGGTTCTGATGACTTTGAAGCCCTAGTGGCTTCTCTTACCTGCCTCTTTGCTGAGGACCGCAAGAAGCACACTCTATTTAAAGGTGCCCTGGCCTTCAAGTTGCTGCTATTGGGATAACGCCACAGTGGTGGGTAGGACTGGTTAGGAAGGCTACTAGGGCTCAAGGTTGTCTCTGGGAAGCAGAAAAAGGGCCTGGTGGGTAGGTCATGATCCTCAGAGCCCCTAGCCCATTAGGCAGTGTATGGAGCCCGTAGACTCAGACATCTACTCCCCACAGGCTTCTACCAGTTTGTACGACCCCACCACAAGCAGCAGTTTGAAGACATCTGCTTCCAGCTAACAGGCCAAGGCTGTGGCAACCAGGCAGGAGGCCCCTCCTTCCAAGAGCAAGCACAGTCAGCTGCGGATTCCACCTGTGAGCAAAACCCTAGGCTAGACCCTCAGTCTCACACTTCAAAGGCAGTTGACACCTGAGATGCGCATATTTCGCATATCCCTAGGCTTTTGCTTGGCTAAATTAGCCAAGCATGATTCTCCCTGTCTGTTGGGTGAACTCTGTCTCCTAGCCTAAGCATCCAAGAGACCTGCCCCTGGGGAATTCAGCTGGAGTCATGGCAGCTGGGTACCTGTCGTACTTCTGACTGAATAGCTGAGCTAGCTGCTCCAGAGGCAGTGCCTGTTCCAATGCTTGATACAGGGCAGGTGTCGCAGAGGGACTTCATTGATTGGGAGAATTCATTGAGGTTCCTAGTATCTGTACTTGTACATGTGCTCCTGAGCTGGACCCATTGTCTGGGCCCTCCAAGTCAGTTGGGTATGTCTGTGATGTGTACCTGATGTCAGGGTCACCTTCCTGTCTGAGGATTATGAGATCTAGTCTCAGGAGCATGTTTCTCCAGGAAGGAGAGTCTGAATCTAAACTGACCTTGTCTAGGTAGACAGCTGGATTCTGGAGAGCACCTGAACCAAGGGAGGCCTCACCTGTCTGGCCATCTGCCACCTAAAGGTACTTGGCTTCTAAAGACCCCAGGTGGGACATAAAAATCCTTGAAGAGTCACGTTGAACTGCTTGATTCTTAACCTTATTTGTCCTCAGTCTCAGACAGACTCAATAGGGATATCTGAAAGGGAGTGGAGTGGGGAGGTAGTCCCAAGCCATTAGACTCCCAGTAACATCTCTCTTCCAGGAGACCCCAGCAGTTGTCCAAAAGTGGGATGTACAGTAGAAAAACCTGGCCAGGCTGCTGTGAGTGCCTACCTGTCTGATGTCCGCAAGGCTCTGGGATCTACAGGTTGCAGCCAGCTTATGACAGCTCTAAAGGCATACAAACAGGATGATGACCTGGGCAAGGCGCTGGCTGTGGTGGCAGCACTGACCACTGCAAAATCTGAACACTTCTCCCTGTTACAGAGTATGTAGGCCTTGGGTGTAGGGCATAAGGTTCTGGGAAAGGGCATGTGAGAGAACAGAGGCTGAGCTAAAGTACCCCACAGGGTTTGGCATGTTTGTGCGTCCCCACCACAAGCCACACTTCCTGCAGACATGTGCAGACCTGATGGGCCTGCCTACCACAAGCAGGGGCTTGGAGCTGCCAGGTCCCAGGGAGGAGAGCACAACTGTGCCTTCGGAGCTTGCCCATGAGGACAGTAAACCAGGTGAGAGCCCACTTAAGGACTCCTTCCACCCTTGCCCTGTCACCCTGAGCCCCTCATGGCACCTAGAAGCTAACAGGAGAGAAACATATAAGATCCCTACACTCTGCAGGTCCCTCAGTGTCCAAGAAGCCTGAGAAGACCCAGAGTAAGATCTCATCCTTCTTTAGACAGAGGCCAGACCAGAGTGTAAGGTCTGATGATACCACCCCAGAGCCTACAAAGTCTGAGTGGAGTAAGCAATAGGGGCTACAGGGACTGTTGGTTATGGCTGGGCACTGGAATTGTGTGCGCTCACTTAGCCCTCCTGCAGCTTCATTTGTGTGCCCGGCCTGTGCAACTGAAGACACAGTGCTTTTCCAGTGCCCCTTCTGTGATTTCTACCGCTGCCGGGCCTGTTGGCAACTGCAACTCCAGGTTGGGGTCTGAACCCTCTCTCTCCCTAGGTGGTGGGCTGAGGGGCCAGACCTAGGGTATGCATTCAGCCAGGCTACAGTGCCTAGCAGGTATCTCCACAGGCCTCTAGAATGTGTCCAGATTGCGGTGCTGTTAATAGGAAGCAGAGCATTGCACAGGTCTTCTGGCCGAAGCCCCAGTGAACACAAATGGAGACCCTGGGAGCCCTGATGTGGCTAGAAACTGGCTGATCCACTGCAAGTCTCATGCTTGGCCATCTAATTGGAGCTGAACCTATCTGTGAGAAACTCTGAAACTTCAGGGCATGATAGGCTGGGTCTGCTAGATGCCTCCTCGCCAGAACTTTTATATGTGCCTATATTGGCAATGTGCCTGTATTACTAATGGGACAGGCTGTTCAATAAAACCAACAATTGTCAGGATGGTAATTGTCAGGATGGTGTCTGTGTCCTGGGCTTGGACAATTTGAGTGTCTTGGAGGTGCCAGATATAGTTGTACAAGCTTTTAATCCCTATAGATACAGGTTGATAGCTCCTAGTTTCAGGACAGCTAAAGCTACAAGAGACACTGCCTCTTGTAGAGAGAGAGAGAGAGAGAGAGAGAGAGAGAGAGAGAGAGAGAG